TACTTTTTCTTTTACTTTCAAGCACTCTATACTGTTGTTAGTGTATGTGTAGTCCATTTGAGTCTGCCCTGTATTTCTTAACCATTAACTTAGTTTTTCTGCCTCACTTCTGCTTTTATGAAGACCACCATGTGTTGTTGCTGTAATCACGAGTAATATAAATGCTCAACATGAGAAAAGTCAATGTCAGGGATTTGATTATACTGAACTTACATGGCTTTCTTTTGTTGTTCATGCGATGTTTGCACAAGAGATCTCATTGGAAAAAAATATCCTTTTATTAAATATTACCCTAATTATTAAATATTACCCTAATTATTAAATATTACCCTAATTATTAAATATTACCCATTGAAAGGCGAAAAATCTAGAAAATAATAGATAAGACGGATAACTTAATGATGACAGTTATCATTTAAATATAACCATATTTAATAAGGATCTCAGTGGAGAGTGTGGTGGCGTGGTGATTAGCACTGTGGATTAAAATATCTAGCCAGTGCCTTTCTCTGTGGAGCTTGTATGTTTGTGTGGGTTCTCACTGGGTACTCTGGCTTCCTCCCAAAACCCAAAGGCATCCAGTCAGTGGGCTAGGCTACTATAAACTGCCCATAGGTCATAATGGTTGTCTGTCTCTCTGTGTTAGCCCTGCGTCAGGTGTTCCTCGCCTCTTGCCCCTTTCCTCAGGGTTCTGATGGTAGTTGGAAAAGGCTCCAGCCCCCCTGCTGGTGAAGGGACTTGATGGATCTCAGTGGTTAAGTGAATGGAAAGACTATATTGGTCTTGACAATAGACAGCAAAAATAACAATGATGTATCCAGTATTACTTTGTTCATTTTTATGAACAGGTGTACCTGCTTGCAAATTATAGCAGTAATACTGAAAACATTAACGTCTGTAATTAACAACCCAAATCAGAATCATGACACTGTGCCTGCTTTGCTCTGGATTCTTAAACCACTAACTCAGTTTTTCGTTTACTTCCCGTTCAGTGAAGATGACCAGGTGATGTTACCGTAATCAGGAATAATATAAATGCTTCATATAGGTAAAGTAAATAAATGATGCCATGTTAAAAAGCACGAAGGTCCTGAGTTCAATTCCATCAACTGGCTGGGTCCTTTCTGTTTGAATTTGTACATTCTTCTCGTGTTTGTGTGGGTACTCAAGGAAGAAGGTATGCAGGAGGAAGCCAGAGTACCCGTCTTCCACCAGTCCAAAGTCATGCAGTTAGTGGGGTTAGGTTAACTGTTTATGCTACTTGGTTATTCACAGAGGAGGCCTACAGCAGAGGGGTCCGGGCCCTCTACAAGCAGGCTAGAAACAAGCTAACCAAGGAGATCAGGGTAACTAAAGCCCTACGCGACTCAACTTGTTTTCCATCACAACGCCTGATGTGCGTGGGGTTGTCACAGCAATGTGGCTGAGCGTCCCACGAAGGAATTACTGTGCAACATGAACGCCACAACAAAGGTGGACGTCGAGAGAACACACCTGCTGATGGGTCTGTGTCTTTTTGTCAGACAGGACAATGATGTTCTTTTTTTGCAGCTGTTTCTCTCGTTGCAGGGTTTTAAAAATGACGGGTTTGATTTTCGTGAAGGAGACGCTCTCATGGCTCAGCGAGTGATGCCACCGATTAGCCAATCGGTGGCATGCAGTCTGTTGACATCACATTTTCAGATCACTGGGAACCCGAGCTGAGTAGGTACTAACAGGTACTGTCTCCTAATGGAAAACCCTGAAAAGCATGGCAAGCGACCGGATTAGGCACTAAAGCTAAAAGCTAAAAAGCAGCTTCTCAGCCGATGACCCTGCATCAGGTTGCACCAGTTACAGGAGTCCATTGCTCCACCCTGAAGTGAATCCTCAGCTGGCTGATGGCCTTAAAACCTTCTACTGCAGATTTGAAAGACAACCACTCACACCTCCCACCTGCTCACCCTCACATCCACACACAAAGATGCTCACTCTCACCTCACACCTATACAAAAAGACTACTTGCACCCCTGTCCCCTCTGACCCCTACCTGTGCTAAAGATCCGTGAGGATGTTTAGTCTGCTTATCCAGAGACAGAACACTGGGAAGGCTCCGGGACTTAACAGTGTGTCCCGTCATTCCTGAAAGTCTGCACAGACCCACTGGCCTCCATCTTCAACCAGATCTTTTATGTCGCATTGTTTCACAAGTGGCAACAGTAAACAGGATCACATTTGACTGTATTACAGTCAAATGAAATTTGAACTCCCATTTTTACTGGCTTAGTTGACGAGAGATAAGCATCTGATGTTTTGTCTCCAGATGCACAACATTCTAGTGATGATGACTTTGAAAAACGGTCTTTTAATAGTTCGTCTGTCCCCAAACTTATTCCCTCAGCCAACGCTAAGTGACTAAATATGAGATTTGGATCTGCCAAAGGCACAATGAGAAAGATCTCCTGAATCCTGGAACAGACTTTTCATTTTATTACTTTCTTTGAATGACTGATGATTGATGGGAAACAACAACAGGTTTTTGTAAAGAACTGGTTCCCAGTAGTTCGGTTCCTTGTAATTGTTAGTCTGCTTGCCTGTCGATCCTGCCTATCAGTTCTACTTAAAGTCGCGCTACAATCAGCTGATTTCAGTTAGTGGAGAATAATGGTGCAGTTTGCAGCATGTCTATGAATATTACTTTTGTTTTATTAAACAAAAGGATGAGAGTAACATGTGTAAAGTGCATCCAGGACCGAAACAACGTAATTAATGCTGCTAACACAACTTCAGCTATTTGCAAGCATCTGCTCGGACAGCATGCTAGCACTAAGCTAGCCAAGAACCCAGAGTGTTGATGAAGCTGAGTGACTGCCAACCTCAGGCCAGCAGCCAGACCCCAAACTTCAGCACTTCAACAAACTGATGAGCAGTCAGGCTGCAGCTTGTACCTGATCCTGCAGTAGAATCACTGTGGCTATCACTAAAGTCTCTTTGTGCTGGATTTCATCTTTGCTTTGTGCTGAAAACTAAGAGAAAGATATTATGTGTGCACTCATTAGGATATGGATTTATGCTTGTGTATGGACAGTAGCCTAAAGGTTTATACTGTGGCTGGTAATTATGAGACAATGTATTTCAGGTCATTTTATGGAGAAACTTCAAAGTAATGCAAGTAGTGTAATGAATTACTTTCTCCTGGGAGTAATACATTACTTCTAAGAAAACTGATGAATATGTGTAATATATTTACATAATAATAATTACCCCAACACTGATCACAACAAAGAGGAAATGCCTCCGACAAACAAACATTTTACCACACAGCATGAAAGTAATTTGCCCAAATATAATGCTACGGTGGTGACTCCCAATGTGGAGTCAGTGAGTTGATGTGTATATGTTTTTATGCAAGTGTTTCTGCTTTTTCTCGTCTAAAGAGTCAGAACGTTGTTTCAAATTTGGACGTACAGTTGAGTGGATGGAAAAGTGCAGACAAATGAAGAATTGCATTAAAAGCAGCAAACGACTGAACGTATCCTGAGTGGATGAATCTTTGACCAGCAATACCAGGCAAGCCCACAGTTATGGACCAAACCATGTGCCACGATGTAACAATCCACCTTGAACTATTAAAAATTGGGAAACAATACTTTGAGTGTATCTCGCGTCCTTGGCTTGCCTCTGCTGAAAAAGAAATATTACAGTGTAAGAAACTGACATGCAACAGTGTTTGTGATTATTGGTTGTGTGTTTGACTGTGGGAGTAGGTTGTGTGGGTAAGCTGCGAACAAACTGCCTCCTTTTGTGATTAATAAAGTTGATCTGAATCTGAAAAGGACCAACTTTGGGTCATTCCATCTAAAATCAGACAATTAAAAAAATATTCCTGTACGTCTTTCTCCAACTTGCTTTACTTTTATGGTCCAAAGGTCCAAATTATTTTAGCATACAGTAATAACATTTAAATTAGAAAAGACAATTCTTAGCTATTTCTGAATGACATATAATACTGCAAAATAATGCATGCAGAATCCTTTTTAACCCTTACATGCACAAGTGACTGGGCCGTACACTTTTCCAGAACAGAACAATCGCTACATCTAATGACATCCATACACTGGATTTACCACACCAACTTCTGACTTCATGATCTTTGTTTCTCTTTGGTTGGGCCTGTCTGCTTTTCCTGTGGCTTTTTGTTGGGAGCAACTTTCCAGTTGAGTTCTCATGTGTGGTGTGAGTTGTGCATTAGTGATTCTGCTCTTGAATTCAGGGTGCTAAGCTATGAAAAGGTGTAGGGTAACAATGTTAAGTATGTCATACCACAGCACCATTGACCACCTCTTTGTTTTTAGACTTACATATGTAGGTGCTAACCATGTGGTCCATGTGTCTACACCTCCTTTGGTCTTGTTGTAGAATGTGATCGATTCTGTTTTTATTTCTACCATACCACAACAGCTTCTCCATGAAACACTGTGCAAGAGGCATTTAACTAGCCAACAGATATCTCCAAAAGTTCTGTTCATCTGGACGGAGCGTCTTCACTTGCCTGGATGATTGGGCATGCATTAAGACGTGGCCAATAGACAGACATTTTTCATGTATTTTTCACAAATTACAGATTTTGATTCATTTTGATGGGAAGAAAGACCAGTGAATCGTCTGTCTTTAACAGTCTTTGAGGTACTATTATTGCCTCAGATTACAATGTGAAAAATAAAATAAAATAAAAAAGGCCTGAAAGTGGTTTGACAGACCATTATATACCATACATATCTTGGAAGGCCTATTTGATTTGAGAAAGAATAGCCCCACTGCTAGTTTAAGACTGCCTACTGTCACAAATCTTGTTCGCTAATGAAGTTTGTAGTTTTGAAGTTTGAAGTTTCCAAAGCACATTTATTCTGTGTTGCGCCCCAGCCCAGGGAAACCAGAGTGCGACAGAATGAAAGTTAAAAATTGTGTGTAGCTGATGAAGAGGACAAGCAGGGCTACAAGCTGAGCACCAGAGCACTTACTTGATGTAGTACGGCACGTTGTTTGGAGAGACGCCCTGCTCGAAGGGGGTCACCACAGATCCTGCACAAACAGACGATAGATGATTAAAACCCAAAACAAATATTGATAATCATCTCCTAATTTTGTTTGAAGTGTCTGAAATTTCCAAAGCTGTCATGGTCCCTCGGTGTTGAACCCAGGGTTTTTAGTGAGTTCATGTTTTCTTGTTGTTTTGTGGATCATTTGTTTCTTAGTTTGGTTTGTTCGTAGTATTTGTTTGATTGCTGTTTCTCATTTCATTATTGTACTTTTCAGTCGTCGGTTTGTATTTTAGCTTCATCTTCCCTGTTTATGTTGTAGTTGAGTTCATGTGTCTTGGTTTTGTAATATTTAGTTATCATCTTTGGTTTTCCCTTTCTGTTTTCTCAGCCTTATCCTTGTGTCCGTCCGGTCTCTGAATCCTGTCACCATCTTTGTTTACCTTTCTCCCTTTGTCCTCCTGTACACTGTTTTTCTATTTTATTTTGATGTTTGTTCTTCCTTGTATTTTGTGTCTAGGTCTCCGTTCGTTATCTGGTGTGTCTGTATTGTGTCAGTATTCTTCATGGTGTGTGTTCATTGCTTTTCTATTCCATGTGCTCCAACTTAAGTCAGTGGCTACTGCCATGAGTTTAGCATGATACTGCTCATCCCTTATTTCCAACTCCCGCCTTTTGGGTCTTACTCCTGCAGCCACACAGCTAACCTGACAGAAGAACACAACTATAAAAAGACTGAGCCCAACAGTACTTCTATGTCACCGCTGCAGTGGACGAGCCCTTCATCACTGCCACATCTGTGGATCACATGCTTTTTGACATCACCATAACCGGTTCCCACTTTGAGGAGGAAGTGAAGCTGCCACCACCGGTACCTTTCACTACTGCCCAGATTTGCAGCTCCACTGGTATCTGCTAAAACAGGGTCTCTACAACAATCCTCTAGGCTGAATGAAAAAGACGTGTTCTCTCATGCTACCCCAGCCAGAAGAAATCTAAGCAAAGACTGTTCTGTGTTCTCTTCACCATCAGCATAACCGCTAAACCAGCAAAGTTAAAAACTGAGGGTTTTGTGTCTGAGTCAGACTGTTGATGATACAATATAAGCCTGTTTTTCTTTTTTTATTCCTGCTGGAAGAAAGACCAGACGACCAGTTCAAAACATGTTTTTTGTGGTCACCTCATTCAAAGACTGAAGTGTGTTTCTTTGAATTTTGTAATGAGTTTTGTATTTCTTAGTCGGTCAGTATAAAAATGTGTTCTGTATTTGTGAGCTGGCCAATAACCAAAGAAAGTTTTCTGTTTCTGGAACAGATAATAATGTTTGTCTGGTGTTTTTCAGACACCCAGTAATAAAGAAGAAGTCCACGGCAGTCTCTGAAGCAGTCAACAGTGAAATACTTGGGGTGTTTCTGTGCCGACAAACAGTGATACGACTGTATTTGTGTTTCAGAGGAAGAGACAATGTTTTCCATTTCTGAGCTGGTACCTCACACAGAAACTGTTTACTGTGCTGCCGAGATGACCCCTCCAGAGATTGAATTTTGTGTTCATGAGCACACCATCTCAGAGACTATCCCCAGATATTGTGACTGTGCTCTGGGACTTCTGGGGGAATTCTGAGCCAGAACAGCCACAGTCCCTGTCCCCTGTAAGATTTGCTGCATGCTCTGTTGAGCTGCCCCAACCACCAGTGTTTCCAAAGTCTCCTATATGTGCAGTGAATCTTGACATCCCTGAGCCTCAGCTGATTCCTGAGCCTGAGGGTCCTGTGTTGTCTGAGCCCGAGGATGCCATATTGCCTGAGGTTGTGGGTTTCTGTGGTCATCCCCGGCTATCTGTCAAGCCATTGATGGGAACTCATTGTTGTGGTTGGCTACCTGGCAGGCCACGAGGGTTTTCTTTCTATCCTTGCTGTCATCCTTCTCTGTCCAATCCATGTGATAGCCTCCATTGGCCTCCATTAACGTCACCCAAGGGCCCATCTTTAAGCCACATTAGGGTCTCTGTTGCCATTGTCGGCCTCTGTCCAAGGCACCCGAGGGTCTATATCACCCTTGTTGGGTTCCATCCTAGCCACCTTCTGGCTATGCCACCTAAGGTGTCGTCTGTGTCAGCACTAGCTTCCAGTTAATCATATCCTCTGCCATCAGTGGCCTCGTGCCAAGCCACTGGATGGACCATGTCTCCTTTGGTACTAGCTTCCAGAGTTTCTTCATGTCTTTCACCGGTGGTCACCTGTTCTGCCATCATGGGTCATTGGTCTAATCGCCAAATACATTAGTTTCTCTATCTCAGTAAATCATGTTTAAATCTTTCAAATGATCTCTCCTTCTTGAGCTACTAGCTAAAGGTAGGAAGATGCACTGCTGTTCTAAACTCTGATTATCAAATGTTATCATTGGAGCGTGAATGTGTGTGAACGTTAGGTAGAAAAAATGCTTTTATGAATGGGTGAAAATGACTAAATGATGTATAAAGTGAGTGCTTGAGTTTGAAAAGTGCTATAAAATCCAGTCAATTTACCATTTATCTTGCATACAGTGGGGCAAAAAAGTATTTAGTCAGC